TATTGATTGAAACAATCGCGTCCGCAACTAGAGGTTACATTGGGGGCTTCGGGCGGTGAAAGAGGGACAAATGGGGAAACAGAGGCTGGAGTGGAGACAGAGAGCAAGGCAAAGGGGTGAGGATGGGGTTGTGTGACTAAAAAAACAACCCCGATACATCTCACCCGTTAACAAAGGGTCTCCTGTTGTGCTTTTACCGTGGTGGTGGGGTGGGCTGGGATGGTCAGACAGGAGGGCCTGGGCGTGAGGGGTTCTGGCTTTCCTCCCGAGTCTTCGAGGCCTCAGGGTGGGAGCAGTCCCTTCCTTCCCCACCGCTTCTCCTGGACTGAGGGCAAAGGCCATGGCGAACTGGCCTCCCAGGGGCAGGAAGGATGCCCAGAGACTGCCCACAGGTGCAGAGCAGCCAGCAGAGTCGTGGGCAGTGAGAAGGGTGGGGAGGAGCTCAGGGGAAGGGCGTTCCTAGCGTGGCCCCTGGGAAATGAATGCTCCACCTGAGGGAGCGGGTGGGCGGGCAGATGCCACGACTCTGGACCTCAGCCTTCTCACCTGTACAACGGGGCCCTGGATTAGGTGGTCTCTAAAGATCAGGGGATCCCCAGGAAAGATTGGTCCTTCTGCCCACACTCTCACCACATGCGCACGCACACACACACACACACACACACACCACAGCACTGACTCAACAGGAAGGATGCTCCCCTGCCTTTGGAAACAGGAAGGGCTCCCCTCGCCCACAGCCTGACCTCCACCAGTGGCCCTACAGGTGCACTGTAGCCAGAGCAGGCTCACCCAACCCACTCCCAGGGACAGGCCCTAAAAATACCCACCTCAGCTTTCTCGAGCTGTCTGGGGAGAAGAAAACATGATTCTGCCCCTTCACTCTCAGCCCTCTCAGTGTTCAAAGGGACATCAGAGGATGAGGATGAGAACATGAGGACATGTTGACCTGCATTGCTAGCCCGGGATCTTGTGAAGACAGAGGGGAGGACGGAGGAGGGGAGGGAAGCAAAAGTTGCTTCTATCTAGCTCCAGGGGGAGGAGCAGAAGCTACAGCCGGGGTGGGGTGGCAGCCTCTGTGTGGTGCCCAGGCCTGCCCTGTGGCAGAGGGTCTCTGACTTCGGATGAAAGGCCAGAACTTGCGACAGAGACAGTACCTGTCCTAGGGCTGGGGCCCAGAAGCATCATGAGGACATGTTGACCTGCATTGCTAGCCCGGGATCTTGTGAAGACAGAGGGGAGGACGGAGGAGGGGAGGGAAGCAAAAGTTGCTTCTATCTAGCTCCAGGGGGAGGAGCAGAAGCTACAGCCGGGGTGGGGTGGCAGCCTCTGTGTGGTGCCCAGGCCTGCCCTGTGGCAGAGGGTCTCTGACTTCGGATGAAAGGCCAGAACTTGCGACAGAGACAGTACCTGTCCTAGGGCCGGGGCCCAGAAGCATCGGCAGCCTCTCCCCCAGCCCTCTGAGATCGGTCTCCGCTATCCAGCGGGAGACCTCAGGAGCGGTGGCCGGTGACACCTCGTGGCTGTAGCACCTGCCCGCCAAGGATGGCTCTGCCCAGACTGGCTGTCCCTTCCCCACTCTGGGCTTCAGCTTCCCTGTTTGCTCCATGAGGGGTTTCGACTTCTGAGGCCCACCCGGGACTTTTGCAAAGCACAGGGAAAGGAGGGTGAATGGGAAGGAGGTGTTGGGCTCATCCCAGGAGGACCCAGTGGGGAGAAGAGGGCCTGGCCTTCAGGCATAGCTCAGCACCCCTTGGGGTCTGTCTGTGGTCTCGGGTGGGACGGCCCAGCTGGGACTCCTCATCACCTGCTGTGCAGCACCTGGACACAGGAGTCCCTTCCCCAGACGCCAACCTGGAGGGGACGGGGGCAGAAGGACCCCACATCCTGAGGGCTGACCCTGGACTCCCATTCATTAAGGCCACAAAATGCTTCGGTCACCCTGACCCAGAGGGTGAGGCTGCCACTGGGGAGACGCACTGGATCCAGCCAGCCTGGTCTCCCCTGGGCTGGGGGTCTTCGTGGGCCACCCCTCAACACACGCTGACACACTCTGGCACACAGACATACCCAGCGTAAGTGACACTGACACAGACACACCAACACAGACAGACACGCGCACCCCCAGGAATACACAAAGACAGCTCATTCCCTGCAGGCCCACTGCGCACGCGCACACACACCTCGCACTCACACTCTGACACCCGCACCTCCTGCAGGCACGCCGGCACACAGTCATCACCCTCACTCATTCCCACGGAGGATCTCGGAGGCGCAGCAGACGGCTTCATTAATCCTAAACCAAGACACCCTCAGGGCAGGGCAGCCCTCACCCTCTCCCACCGAGGCCCCCTGCAGCCTCCTGCCACTTCCCACCTGCATTTCTGTCCACGTGACCGTGTCCTCTCCCGAACATACCAGGACCTCGGGGGCCACAGGGGTGCCATACGGCCCGGCCAACACGCACTGAGCAGTTTCTGTGTCAGCTGAACGAGCGACACAAGCCCGGCACAGAGGGGCTGGGCGAGGGAGCGCTGTATCTAAGACCACCTGAGGGAAGCAGGCATTTGGCACCATGAGAGCCCCAGGAAGAAGCGCCCAGGCTGCCCCTCTGGCACGCCGCATCTACTCCAGCCTCAGACCCAGCCTCATACACACGTAATTGCACACGCAGAGGAAGCAGCTGTCGTGACAGGCCGGTGGTTTCCACTCTCGAGTTGTCCCGAGGGGCTTTTCGACATTTCTGATGCCAGGCTGCACGCCGGTGCAATGACATCAGCACCTCTGAGGTAGGACCCAAGCACTGGCACTTTTCAAATACCCTCTGGTGGCCCTATCCTGCAGCCAGGCTGGGCCCTGCTGACTCACAGACTCCACTCCACGGGCCAAGCCTGCAGCGTGGTCTCCAGACCAGACGCGCCGTGGCAGGCATGGGCTGGGAGAGAGGGGCTGGGAGGGCACAGGAGGAGCTCACAGTCCACTGGGCGCTGGTCTCTGCACAGATGGGACCATTAAGGAACGAGACCCGGCAGACATGATGGAGGCCTGTGCTGGGAGCCTGGAACAACTCACTTCCCACAGAGGCTTTGGCTGGGCCAGGAAGACAGCCACGCCGGTCAGGTGTCGGGAGGCCCCGCGGCAGCCTGGCCCGACCACCCACCAGCTGTCGGTGATGATAACGCAGGCCTGGCAGAGCGGGGAGTGGGCAGCCTTTGCCTTGGGTCCCCGCCTGCCTCCTGGCGCTGCGGGGCTGCCCGAGTTCCAGGTCTCTTCTCTGCAGCTGTCCCTACTGAATGCTCCAGGAGGGGCCTTGTGACACCTCCCGCTGAAGGTGCTTGCGTTCAACCACAATAGAGTCATCTGAAAGCTCTCTGTCATCACAGGGGGTGAAAGGGGCGTTTCAGGCCATGCAGGCAGCTTGAAAATACTGCCAAGGGCTGGAGGCCATCCGTTTGCCCACGATCCGCAGACACGTCACTCACGAAGACGGAGGTATACGGGCACTCTCAGACCCAGCCTCACACACGCGTAATCGCACACACAGAAGCATATTTGCACACACTCCTGCCAAGGTATGTATCTGCAGTAGTGCAGACACAGATGAACACACACGTGCACACACATGCACACAGACACAGACATAGGACCACACGTACGTATGCATCAAGACTCATCCTGAAGGCGCTGGGCCTCTTCTCTCCCATGGACGGCTGCTGGGTGGGGGCATGCTGGCACAGGGCGAGGCTGAGAAGAGATCTAGCTCTACACGTTGATCTCAGGCTCCTAACCCAAGACCCAAGGGCAGGGAACCCTTCCACAGCTCAGGCCATGAGCCTCGGTTCCCGGGATCACAGGGACCGGCAGCTGCCCCTGTCTGCCAACCCCAGCTCTATAAAGCTCTTTCCTGCACTGACTCTGGGTAGGGAAGGGGCCCGCCAGCTAGATGGTGCCCTGGCCTCCATGCACCCACTCCTGCCCAAGGCACCCTTCCATGCCATGGTATAAGGAATGAGGGCTCCACTCCCAGTTCGGTGCCCTAGGTGGGGGCATAAAAGCCACAGAAGCAGGACTTCTCCTCTGCCCTCTCAGAATCAATCCTCACCCCAGAAAATTGCGTGGCCACCACTGTCCGAGCTCCTCCAAGACCCAGCTGGGGGCTGAGGTTAGGGTGGGACGGTGCTCTCAGGAGTCCAGCTGCTTGTGGGGGAGGGGTGGGTGGGTGGTGGGTGGGGTTGGTTGGGGAAGGCAACCCCAGCTCTATAAAGCTCTTTCCTGCACTGACTCTGGGTAGGGAAGGGGCCCGCCAGCTAGATGGTGCCCTGGCCTCCATGCACCCACTCCTGCCCAAGGCACCCTTCCATGCCATGGTATAAGGAATGAGGGCTCCACTCCCAGTTCGGTGCCCTAGGTGGGGGCATAAAAGCCACAGAAGCAGGACTTCTCCTCTGCCCTCTCAGAATCAATCCTCACCCCAGAAAATTGCGTGGCCACCACTGTCCGAGCTCCTCCAAGACCCAGCTGGGGGCTGAGGTTAGGGTGGGACGGTGCTCTCAGGAGTCCAGCTGCTTGTGGGGGAGGGGTGGGTGGGTGGTGGGTGGGGTTGGTTGGGGAAGGTTTCATTCTTCAAACTGCCCAGGCCCAAGATCCTACAGTGGGTCCCTTCAAAGGCGGTCAGTGAAGAGGGGGAATATGATGTCCCAGAATCTGGCCAGGCCACCGGGGTGAGCTGGGGTCTCCACAACCAGCTCTCCTTCTGGGGACAGAGTTATCTGCAGCAGGTCCTGCCTTCCTTGTCACCCCCTGGACAGGGGACAATCACGGAGCTCACAAAGTCCCACCTGGCCTCCCCCACCCCAGGGAGTCCCAGAGTTCAATGAAGGGAGGTCTCCCTTCTGCACAGCCACAGGGCTGGAGTTCGGCCTTCAATTAGAGGACGGGGGAAGGTGAAAACACACCCCAAGTGCAGCCAGGACAGGCCTGTCGTGCCGAGGTCCCTGGGGTGGCGGACGCCATTCAGGCAAGTCCCCTGTCTCCGCAGTAAAGAAGGTGCTGGCAGGTCAGATAGAAACTTGTGCTTTAATATATCTCTGTGAGAGTGAGTGTGTGTGTGTGCGTGTGTCGAACAACCGTCTCCAGGGCCTCAGTGCCAGGCCTCTGTCCTTGTTCTCTGCTCATCCTCGAAGCCAGCGTAGGACCCCTCCCTGGCAGGCCGGCCCTGCCCCTGGGCACCCCAGCTGGCGGGGGTCAGTCTTTGGTACGATGTGGACACTTTGGTGTGCCGGGGGCGGGGTGGGGGCCAGGCAGCTCTCATCATCTCTGCAATGCCAAGAGGAAGACGGCCACAGGCCCCCAGAGCCACAGGCTGGGCTGGCGGGGGGCTCCACTGCCCGGCATCACCACCACTGGAGGGGAAAGAAAGAGGAGACAGGCCAGGTGCCCGGTCAGTTCTGGCAGTGGCAGGAGCTCCAGGTTGGCCAAGGGAGAGTCTTGTTTTCCTGCTCCATCTCTTGGGGGGATGGGCACTGTCTTGAATGCTCATATGTTCCTGTAAGCACACGCATGTGGTGGTGTGGTTGTAGGAGTTGACTCAGCCTGCTGGGCCTCAGTTTCCCTATCTGTAAAACGGGTCTAACAGTATGAGCTACCCCAGAGAATGTCAGTTTCATGTAAATGAAACCCACATATACGGTATTTAGTCATTGCTCAGTAAACTGGAGCCGTGCTACTGGAAACACCTCCCAGGAACATGTTCACACCTGGAGACACGGGTACACAGAGGGGCCACTTTGGAATTCTTTTTTTTTTTTTGGAGAGGTTTTGCTATAGGGCGCCTGTGCTCGCCAGAAAGACAGAGAGAGACAGAGAGACAGAAAACGAGAAATCACCCCCCAGGGGGCATGGCCACGCCGCAATCCCTTCTCTTCCACTCTCCTCTTGGGATCTTGGGCACGCACGCACACGCGCCTGGCATGAGTTTAAGCCACCGGGTCCGGGACTCAAACTATGGTTGACTACATGGGAGTCCAGCGAGGTAGCTATTACACCAACTGCTGGTCCCTACAGGGGGCACTTTGATACCGTAAGTAACTTAGTGCACATGGAGGGCAGAGCCTGGGGCTTCTCCTTGTCTTAGAGATGCCCCCTGGCCTGAGTTGGAGGTGGGCAACAGTGGGCACGCGTTCACAGACACACGATTCCCTTCTCGGGCATTCTGACCTGTTCAGACACAAACGCCCTCCCCCTTAACAGAGACGCCCTCCCCCACGGTCCCCACCCCCTCCCCATCTTGCACCTTTATTGGGATCCATCTGCTTCCGGGGACACTCTCCCTTCTTCAGGGTGACGTCATCTATGGCAATATCCCCCAGGTAGCCTGAGCCTCGAACCCCCTCAAAAATAATCTGGGGTGGGGTCAGAGAGCAGGGAGTAGGGTTGGGGAGGTTCTGCCAGGCACAGCGATGCCCCTTTCCCTCCCCCCAACCTCCCCGGAAGTCCGGCCTACCCTGCCTGCTTCCCCTCGCCCCCAGGAGCAGACACTGGGCTTCCTGCGTGTTTCCTGGCCACTGCCATCCCCAGCCCAGAGGAGCCCGGCACCCAGCACGCTCACCTGGAAGGGCCCGCTGGGGTTGATGGGTACGTGGGCCTGCTGCCACACGTTGCCCTTATTGCCGCTGAGGGACCAGGCATGTGTGTCCAGGGCCCCTTTGTTCCGGGACCGCACCAGGAGGTTGAGGGAGCCTGTGGCGAGTGAGAAGAGAGGGGAAGTGGGGATGGACGGGCTCCTTAACTCTCCCCATTCACCGAGTCCTCCCCCGCCACTGCCCACAGCACCCCAGATGGGTTCAGTGTCCCGTCACAGCAGGGGACACCAACGTGGGAAAGACGGGAGCAGCGGGGCTGCAGCCCTTCCGGATGACCCCCACATTCTCTTTCATTTCTTCCCTTCTCTACTCATCAGCTAATCCCCACCCAGGAGCACACACACACACACCACTCTCCAGACAGGGAGCAGCCTCAGGGCAGTGGGCATTTTGAACCCAGAGCAGGATTCCCACCAAGCACAGTGCGTACCCCTGACAGTACACGGTTTCCAGGGGCGGAGGAAGAAACTGTGCATTTTTTATTATTTTCGGGCCAGCAGTAGTGTAGTGGTTAAGGTGCTGGACTCCCACATGGTCAACTGGAGTTCAAGTTCCAGACCTAAACTCATGCTGGGCATGTGTGCGTGCATCCCCAAAATCCCGAGAGGAGAATGGAGTAGAAGGGATTGTGGTGTGGCCATTCCCCCGGGAGGTGATTCCTCACTTTCTCTTTCTGTGTCTCTGGCGAGTGCATGCACCCTATAGCAAAAATCTCCCTTAAAAAAAATTATTTTCCATATGGTAAATAAAGCTAGCCCTTCAAATCCAGGATTTCTTTAACACAGATGCTTAAAACAAAGCTAAACACAAAGACAAGAGTTGCTATAGGATATTAGAACACGGGCTCCCCGGCTGTGGGAAAGCAGTAGGAGATTTTGGAGGAGGTAGGCTGGGGGTGCTGAGCCCATTTGCCCACAGACACAGGAGCCTGGGATTCTGGGGTGCTGAGTGGTGACAGAAGAGAAGGAGGGCATAGGGGACCTGCAGTTGGTGTAATGGCTATGTCGCTGGACTCCCACGTAGTCGACCACAGTTTGCGTCCCGGACCCGGTGGCTTAAAACTCAACGCCGGGCGCATGTGCGTGCGTGCCCAAGATCCCGAGAGGAGAATGGAGGAGAAGGGACTGCGGTATGGCCATCCCCCCGGGGGGTGATTTCTCGCTTTCTGTCTCTATGTCTCTCTCTGTCTGGCGAGTGCATACTCCCTATAGAAAAAAAAAAAAACTCTTAAAAAAAAAAAGAGAAAAGAGGAGGGTGTCGCGGGAGCTCTCAGGGGGCTCGGGTGGTGTCAGTGCGCCCTCCCTGTCTCTTGCAGCCCACAGCGAGCCTGCAGTGTCATGAACGTGCTGGCTCAGAGGAAAGGAGGTCGATCTTTCATGGTGTCTGGTGGCTGGCATTTCCATGGCACGGCCCACACTCAAAGCCACACCATCTGTGACACCAGATAGACAGACCCCCTCGTGCGGGAGGGCACCAAATGTTACCTGCCTGGGATGAAACGACTTGGCTTGGACCAAGGGGAGCCAGCGAGACACAAGGTCTGGGGCCAGCTGGTGCCTAGAGCTGCCAGGCAGGGTTGGTGGGGAGGAGAGAGGGGACCAAGATGGCAAGAAACAGCCCTTCCCCAGCAGTAGAGCTAGGCTGGAGGAGCACGCCACAGGTGCCAGGCATGCAGAGCCCCGACTGACGGGAGATGGGCCCCTAGAAGCCACGCCTGGCACTCAGGGAACACGAGGGGCCTGCCCCGGCTTTGGCAGTGCCCAAGCCCCACTGTGTGCAGGTCTTTCCAGCCCCAAAGGGACCGCTCTCCTCGCTTCCTAGAGTTTTCCCGTGTCCCTATGCTCCTGGGCTCCAGTCTCAATCCTCACCATTTCTTCCTCTACCCTCAGGACCCTGAAAGGGAAGCCTGCTTTTTTCCCTGCTCAAACAAAACCCCACTTTCTGCCTCCTTGCCCCTTACCCAATCAGCTCCAAGGTCCTCCCTGCTCGGGGCTTCCTGACATTCCTTCACAGGGGCCAGCCAGAAACATCACCCTGCCTCAGGAGCGGGCCTGCTTGCTACATTCCTCCCCAGCTTGGCCGCCTCCGAAGACAAGCAGAACCACACTGTGCTCGGGCACACGCCAGCTTTCCAGCCTCTGGGCTTCTGCCGGCTGCTCCCTCTGCTTGACATGCCTTCCCCTACCAAGCTCCGGCCAAATCCTCGCCCTTCATCAAGGCCTCGGAAATGTCCCCCCTCCAGCAAGTCTCCCTAGCTTGAGCAGAGAGTCCTCTCTCCTTCCTGTGAACTGGGAGGCCTTGCACTGCAGCCCCCGCTCCCGGACCACTCTCCGCTCTGCAGTGTAGCAGCTGCCGGGATTCACAGCGTCTCCCTCACTCCTTGAAGGAAGCTCTGGGTCCAGTTTGTATCAGCTCTGAATAATGAAATGCTGAACAAAGACCTTTCCATGAGTGGTATCAAGGGGTTTCATAGACTCTCAGGGCTGGAGATGACTTCAGGGCTCATCAAGTCCAAATGCCCATTCACTCATTCATCCACCATTGTTCACTTAACTGAGCACCACTACGTGCCAGCTCTGTTCCAGGCACTAGGGCAAGACAAAGACCCCTGCCCTCGAGGAGCTTGTGTTCTATGGGTGGTAAGCATTATAAAATAAAAAAATAATAAATAATGCAGAGGAAAGGACAGGGGCTACTTCAGGAGAGGTGGTCAGGGCACTCTGAGAGTCCTGAATGGAGGGAGGGAAGACTGTTCCCAGTTGAGGGAGCACCATGGCCAAAGGCTTCTAAGCAGGTCTCTGCCTGGGAATAAAAGCTGGATCTGGGTGGGTGCCAGGGAGACAGTGGCAACAGATCAGGTGAGAGAAGCAGGCAGGGCCAGGTCAGGAATGACAGGCCTGGAGAAGATGGTGATGGGAAGCCTCTGGCAGGGGCTGAGTGAGGCGTACACGATCTGGGACAGGGCCCCCTTCTCAGCGTCCTTGCTGGACAGTCCTCCTGTATGGGGACAGGATGCTCACCAGCTCCCGAAGACAGCCCCCTGCGTGGCTGGGCAGACCTCCTGTTAAGGGGCTCCTTAAGTCGAACCTAAATCTGTGTCCTGACGCTTTGGCTGCGGGATGTTAGTGGTACCCTCTGGGCCATCTGGAGTGGGAGCCGTCACACATACTGTTCCCTCGGGCCCTCTCTCCTGGTTCCTAAGGCCTGATCCCCCAAGCCTTTACGGAACCCAACCTGCCTTTCTTTACTGCAGGGTCCCCAGTGCCCTCCCGAGCTGGAGATAGCGGCCCTGAGACTGAGAGGGTTCAGGGGCAAAACTGGAGGAAACTAGAACGGATGTTACCCTAGCTGGGCAGGGCAGGGCAGGGCGGGGCGGGGCAGGGCAGGGCCGTCTTGCTCACTGGCCTCCCTACCAAGCTCTCAGGAAGTCCAGACCTGGCCATGGGTGAACCGGTCGGTGCGGATGGCTTGCGGGCCCCAGTGGCCGCAGAGGCTCCCCCCCACCCCATTCTAGGTCATTGGTTTAGCCTGACCCCCAGCTGAGGAGATGTCATGAGGGCCTCAGGTCTACGCTCGCTGAACGTCACCCCTGCACCACGCAGCTGAGGAAAACAATGAGAGAGTTTCTCATGGGCTAAGGAGTGACTGCCAGGTGACAGACGACTCAGAGGGGAAAGAAAGCACAGAATAACGTGTGTGAAAACGGGGGGAACAGAACACACACTCACACTCACGCACACACACACACTCACACACAGTTACTTCCAGGCCCATCAAGGGCAAACGCCCCATCATTCATCCGCCCACCGTTTGCCGACTGGCCACACTGAGCACCTACGTGGCAGGCTCTGTGGACCTGCACTCCTGGTTGCTATGCGAATGGAGGCGCTCTGGAAAATCACCCCAAATCTAGTCACCGGATTACCTCTGGGTAGGGCCAGATGGTGGCAGATGGACAGGAGGGACACTTTGATTACACACTCTTTGATACACCTTGAGCCTCGTGAAACATTATCCTTCCCTCCAATAAGCAGACGATTAAAGCAATTTCTGAGACGCTGTCACTTCCTCAGCAGTCTTCCATCATGCCCCAGAGTCTGCCGCGGAGGTCACTCACCCCCACCTGGTGCGGTTAGCCGGTTAACGTCTGCCTCTCCCACTGACTGCAGAGGGTGGGAACCCGCCCACCGGCCCCTGCAACGCCTGATACCTGGAGCAGCGCTGGAGTGGGAGCGCTGAAGTGCCCACCCACCGGCCCCTGCAACGCCTGATACCTAGAGCAGCGCTGGAGTGGGAGCGCTGAAGTAAGGGCTGAGCTGACGAGTTCAGGGATTAATGGGACACTCAGGCCAGCACCATCTCTTCCCAAAGGGTATCCTGAAGCCCACTCCCACATTAGGAGGCAGAGAATTCATTCATTCATTCAATTCCCCGCTCGCAGAACAGCACGCTCCCCCCTTGAGGAAGTCAGACAGAATTGGGCTGCCGTGTGGTCCTGGGCAAAGGCTTAACCTCTCTGAGCTGTATGGTAACACCTCTGTCACCTGGTGGTTGTGAGGACAGCGTGACCAGGGATGCAGAGCGCCCAGGCCATCGGCTGGCACCTGGCAGGCACTCAGCCTCTCTTTCTGCCCCTCCACGACTTGAAGTCGCTTTGCCGGCGCCTTTGTGTTTGCAGACTCAGGAGGGAAGCTGGCTTTTGAGCTCTCCCCCTTGCCCTTACCCCTTCCCGGACTTGGGACCTGGCCAAGTTGGGAGCTTGGTGGCTCTTGGGGACACCATCTGCCTCCTCGCACGCGCTCAGTCTGACTCACCGATGTGCTTCCCATACATGTGGTAGAAGAAGGAGACGCAGTAGAACTTGGCGCTGGCGTTGTAGAGGGGGCTCACCAGCCGTGCCCGGTCTCCCAGCTCCCGGGGCCTCGATGTTTCGATGAACATGTAGTAGCCTGGGGAGGGGGAGATGCACCTACAGGCTCCTCCTCAGCCCACACAGCTCATCCCTCTGCTTCCCTCTAGCTCACCTCCAGCCGCCTGAAGCCAGCGGTCCCAGCACCCTCCCTGCCCCTCAGCACAGGGTGCTCGAGCACCCACCTGTTCCTAGCCTTACTGCAATTTCTCTTCTGGGTTCCCTATCAGAGTGGGGCCAGGGCTCCCCATACATGGGAGCTCCCTGGGGACAGACCCTGTCTCCCCTCAGACCAGGGCTCCCCGCGGTAGGGCCTAGACCCCTCCCTGAAGCAGTCTTCCACTCCTAACAGCGGGCCATGTCCTCACCCTCAGGGGTGCCACTGATGTCAGTGGGGGGACCAGTGTTGGGGGAGCGCTTGGGGTTCTGGGTGAGGGCGTTCTGCCGCGTCCAGTCGAAGTTGTCTGTCAGGTCCTGGGTGTACCCACATATCTTCTCATCCTCGAAGTGGCAGGTGTTATCTGAAGGGTTGGGGAGGAGGGTGAGACAGAGGGTCAGCCCCCTCAGCCCCTCCTGGCCAGCCTCGCACTCCCTCCTCCCCTCCCCTGAGGCAGCGCCCGATCATCCAGACAATGGACACGTTTTCCAGGGTGTCCAGGCAATAGGTCCATGAAAAGTCTATTCCCAGAGATTTCTTAACCTCTTTGTGTGTGCCACAGATGCTCTGGCACCTAGTGAAACCCAAGGACACCATCTCAGAGTAAGGATTGTAGATGCATAAAATGAAACACACAGGATTACAAAGAAAATCAATTATATTGAAATACAGTTGTCAAAATATTTTTAATTTGTTATATAATAACAAGTGGGCTTCAATATTACCTAATTAAATCACCAGATCTGGTGTTAGGTGTAATAACTCCTGGAGTTCTGAAACACTAATGGATATCAATGATGTTTAGGGAGGTCTGCACCAGCTACAAGGTGACGTGATGAGGCCGCGTATCAGCTGGTGACAAAGTCACAGACACAGGCTCTGCCAGCATGGTTTGCTGCCTGCGTTCCTCACTGATGGGGGTATACATTTCTGCTAGAAGTCAGAGGAAATACGTAGTCGTATGGCTTTAGGGGTTCATAGACTCCTCAATTCTATACACCCTTTGGAGGGCCAGGGATCACAGATTAAGGACCCCTGCCTCAGGGGACAGGGAGCCTGGGTTAGCCTGGCCTCTCCTTGTTTCCTATGGGGACAGTGAATCCCAACCACTCCCATCCCTACTCCTACTTCCTCCCCATGCTCTGCCCAACCTTTAAGACCAGGAATAGATTCTGGATGCAAATATCTGCAGCCCAGTCCTGCTCCTCCTTCTAGCTGCTGGCCACTGCCTCATGGAAACACAGAGAGCAGTTATCTTTCTCTCTGGGTATCTCTGGAGGTCTCTTCCTCCCACTGGGAGAGC